CAATCATCACTGTATATTTGAATATTTTCTTTTCATTTTTTTTTTTTTTTTTTTGAAGATTTCCATCTAGATAATCCATTGTAAAAAAAAAAATCTCAGTGATTTTGTTTTGTGAATTCACGTACGTGTGTGTGTGTGTGTGTATCTGTGTGTATGTGACGGTTTAATATATCATCATCATCATCATCATCATCATCTCATCAGATCATGATCATGTTTAATTATTTTTCAAAATTCTTATTTCATCTAAAATTCGATTGATGAACATTTTTGGGTAAGATTAATATTATATTATATTAATATTAAGTTAGTAATAGTAATGTTGACCCACTTATACGAGAGCAAACACTCGATCGATTTAAAAAAAAAAAATTTAAATTGCAAACACACCAACAAACATTGATTGAATTGATATAAAAATGATTATGAAATGAAATGTAGTCTTTTCATTAGATCTATATGGCCAAAAAAAAAAATATATAATGAAATCCACAAACAACAAAACAAACAGAAAAAAAAGTAATCAATTCTTAACCAGGTTGAATGAAAGTCGAGATCTCATTTGTTTTGTTTCAATCGTTTGGTTGGCTGGTGTGTGAGAAATGGAAAGTTGAATTTGACAAAATTCAATTCAATGAATGAGATAAAAGTTTTTTTTCATTTTACCGTTTTTTTTTCACTGGTGTGACTTTTGTCTGTAAAGTGTATTGGATTTTTTTTTCACCTGAATCGATTTTTTTTTTTTTTACACAACCAAATCGACCATTCATATAATAAATGATGAATAAATGAATTGATTCATTATAAAAAAAAAATAGTCAGGTAATTTTCTTTCTTATTTTTACTTATTTCATTAATTGATTGATTGATTGATTGATCAAATGGAAAAAAAACGAAGAAAAAAAAATTTTTTTTTTTTTTAATTAAAATTTAATCAACCAATTCTGTAACATTAAATGTTATGTAATAATCAATAATAAAAGTTGGACAATTTTGTTCCTTTTTTTCTGAATTCGAATAAATTTTATCGTTCAACAAAACAGAAGAAAAACAAAATCATCAGTGGGGTAGTATACTACTTTTTTTTGATCCCGCTGGTTTTTCAATTGGTTTTCTTCTTCTTCTTCTTCTTTAAATATAATATAATCAAACGATGAGAATAAGTTTAGGCAGAAAAAAAAGAAAATGAATACAAAAAAAAATATTCTACACAGACAAAAACAACAACAACAATAAACACTGTAAGAGAATAAGAATTTCAATGAATGAATTGAATTGAAAATGGCAAGATAATAATAATAATAATAACCGACCAAAAGAATGATCCCGGTGGTGGTGGTGGTGGTGGTCGTGGTTGTTTGTGTGTGTGTGTGTGTGTACAGCATAGTCAGATACAGATACAATGCCATCATTGATGATCATGATGATGATGATAATCATCATCACCATAGACATATGAGAATAATTTTATTTCATTTTGTTTTTTTTGGTAGAATTTTTTTTTTCGAAAAAAAACTGAACCATCAAAAAGTGTCGAATCTATTGGCATTTTGTAGCATCTATTTTGCATAATGGGCATATGGTGGAACCAAGAACCATTACCATCATAACAAACCAGGCAATCACAAATAAGATGATACTATGGATTTTTTTTCTCAAAAGTTAAGGTTCTGGATTCTGGAAATAACCCAACTCATTCAAGTTGATATGGTGATGTTTAGCTTACTGAACCTTTTGTGTGTGGTGTGTGTAAGTGCATGCTTTTGAGTTCAGCTCATTGAAACAATTCTGGCCACCCCAAATCTAATGCATTTTTCATTTTTTTTTGTTTCGGTTCAAAAAATTTTTTTTTTTTGGTTTTTCACTAAATTTCAAATTGAATTTAAATTCAAAAATTTTCGTGACAGTGCGGTTTGTTGCTTGGCTTCATTATTTGCCTAATCTTCTTTTGTTGTTTTTTTTTTTTGTTTTATGTTCGAATTAAAACACGATTTTATTTTTTTGCCGTTTTTTTCTCGTTCCTGAAGTCAAACAATAATTATTGTCCACAAAAATTATGATTGACACATCAAACAAGAGTTTTTAGAAAACAATTTTAATCAATTTTTAACAATGTCAATTCAAATTGCCATCTCAAACATGCTCATTTTTCTCGTTTCAAAATAGAAAAAAAAAACAAACAAAAAATCTATGTATGTAAATTGTCCATCAGAATGTGTCATGGAATTTATTTATTTTTTTTTTAAATTCCAGGAAAATTTCCAAAGTATCAAACCAGAAAAAAAACAAACAAACATTAACCATGATAGTAGCGAAAGAGAAAACTAATTAGAAAGCAAAGCAAAGCAAAAAAAAAAATAAGCCAAACAGTGAAATGGCAAGAATAATGATGCTAATAGATCGATTCTACAATTATATAAATATATTACTAGGGTTATAAATGACTAATAAGCACATTGATTGTACATACCAAAAAAAAAAAAAAAAAAAATAGAAATGTTCCAATTGGATCCATATATTCAGGTGTCTGTTTTTCATGAATCAATTTGTCCAGTTTTTTTTTCATTCGTTCCGACACACACACACACACACACAAAAAGAATGACATTGGATGTATTAATAATAATTTAATTAGGTCTAAGATTCTGATCCACAAAGAATCGTTTATCTTACAAGAATTAGAACTTGTGTGTCATGTTATTGGTTTGAAATAGGATCGAACAACAAAAAAAAAATGAAAATGTCCATGAAGAAATGAATGTTTGTGTAAAACTTTGTGACTTTTTGTGATGAGAAGGAAAAAAATTTATTTCCCATTAAAAATCATAATATATAAGTGTAGTTCGGGTTATTGAAAAAAAAATGAAACACTTTTTTTTTTTTGGTTGCTGATGAGAGAAAAACTGTGAAAAAAAATCTCAGGTATATCAACTATAGCTAACTAACTAAGCATGTTAATATTTGCGTCGGTCGTTTCTTTTTTCCTAATCTAAAAAAAAAATCTGTCCACTTGAAAAGTGTGAAATAAGAAAAATGTCTCTATTAATTCGAAAGAATAAGACGTGTGTGTGTGTGTGTGTGTGTGTAATGTCATGTCAGCAAAACAAAAAAAAAAAAATGTAACGACATGTGTTTCGCACATAGCTTTTGGCTTATGATTCTTCATTAATTCATTTTCATGTTAGAAAAAAAATGGACAGAAACAACAACTACAAAAAAAAACAGAATAACATATATATATATATAGAATGTATCTGGTATCAACACAAACACACACATGCGAAAAGGTACGAAAACAGTAGCAAAGAAAACAATATTTATTTTTTGTTTTTTTTTTTTCGGAAAGTTTTTCTGATATACCAATTAAATGATACACACATTCGATGCGTGTGTGTGTGTGTGTACAATTTTCGTTAAGTGATTTAAGTTTGTTGATGTTAACATATAGCGGCAATATTTTTTTCTGTGTGTGTGTGTGTGTGTGTGTGTTTAGCATCAAAATCATTGTTTCGATATATTGTCATGTGGAGAAAAAAAAACTTGTTCAACACATATATATATAGGGTTATAGTATTTCATCAATAAAAATGAATAAATGAAGAATGGTCCATGTGTGTGTGTGTGTGTGATTCCAAAAGGTGTATTTCGCGAAACCACAAGAACAAAAAAAAAACATTGGGCCCATTATTAATTTGTTGGTTCATGTCATCATTTCATAAACAATATGCAATGAACCAAACATTATTTTTTTTTTTTTGAAAAACTCGAAACTCTTTATTAAAAAAAAAAGGAAATAGGATGAGTCCATAAATTATGTTTGCTTTCAATACATTTGAAACATGATTCTCAAAGATTTTTCTCAGAATCCTAATAACAATAATAATAACGAGATGAAATGTTTTTTTGTTTTTGTTTTTATAATTGGCATTTGGGTGTTTGGAAAGAAAAATTCATTTTCTTTTTTTTTTTTTTTTTGCCACCCGATCAAATTATTATTTATAGCATTTTTTTTTGGTTCATTTTGTCGATACCAACATGAGTAATATGATAAGTGAATGACATCTATGAATGACTCAATGAATTTGGTCATTATTTCTGGTTTTTTTTCTTGTAAAAAAAAATTTTTTCATATCGACCAAATAAAAGTAATGTTTTCAGTTGATGGTATAAAGAAGAAAAGAAAAAACTGATTAACAAGATTGAATGGTGAATGGAAAGAGGGATGAAAAAAAAAATCATCATGAAATTTATGTGCGTACAATTTTAAGGTTGAGCTACCTGGAGATCTAGTCAGTTGGCTACGGCTACTATCCACAATAGAATGATTCAAATCAAGTTGATGAATAATTGAATCCAAGAAAAGATACACACACACACAGACACACACAAAAAAAAAATATTAAGCCGAATCGAGTCATCATCATAATCATCATGAAATAGTTATGACAGAATCATGAACAAATTCAATGATTCCATAGATGAATATAAATATATATATATAGAGGGAAAATGAAAATCAATTCAATCATTGTAAATGGAATTAATATATATCGAATCCATTCGTGTGTGTATGTATGTATATGATTTTTATTTCCAAATTTGTCGAGAATATTCTTCTCCCGATTCTCATCATATTTGACAAAAAAAAAAAAAAAAATTCGTACATTTCACACGCCTAAATATTATTCTCTCTCTTTCTCTTTCTTTCTCTGATCAAACATGATGAATCCATTGAGATTTTTTTGTTTTGTTTTGTTTTTTGTTTTTCAATCAACTAAATGTTTTTCAATGAGTTTTCATTGCAAATTTTCATTTTGATTTTTGTATAGAGAGTTTTTTTTTCTTTTTCTGGTAAACAAAAAAATTTTCATCATCAATAACTTAATTCACAAAATTAAAATGAATTGAATTGGCTAATTTTTTTTTGTACTTTGTTTATTTGGTACTTGTGTGTGTGTGTGTGTTTGGCTGTTTGGCCACTAGCAAGAATAATCAGAATCAATATCCATACTTGAACAACAATACTTGAATCATTGAAATTTGTTTGAATAAGAAAATATTTTGCAAACAAATAAGAATGTTGCTCATACCATGTATAAATAAAATGAATAAACATTCATTACATACAACAACAACAACAACAAATTCGTTGTTAATATCATCTCAACAACATCATCATCATCATCATCATAACAGAATTATGAATGGCCATTCGACACCAAAAACATTGTTATGGACGCTTAGTTTGATTTGCTCAAAATTGATTACATTTAAATTATTAATCATACATTTTATATTCAATTTTGGTAAGTGAAAACGTTTTTTTGATCTTTAATCTTTCTTTTTTTTTTAAATCCAGATTTTAAAAATTTAAATTATTATTGCTCTGAATGAATATTTATATAGACATTGGCATTAGCCTACGTTTAGTGATGTTGGAAGTGCCATCACCATCATATGCAGGCGAATCAATAGAATTAAGCTGTATCTATGAATTGGAACAGGATAAACTTTATTCAGTTAAATGGTATAAAAATGATGTAGAATTTTATAGGTAAGTTTGAAATTTAAAAAAAAAAAATATCTTAATTCATTGAGATATGCGATATCCATTTAATGCCATCAAATTGGCTTTGCATGCCTGCTATATTATTATTAGAATGTGTTTCGGTTATTTCATTTTCCAGTTTACATACACCAACACACACAGACACCCACGACAGGCTGAATAAAATTAATTAATATATCAGATTAATTAATAATTGATGATTGATTTTTTCTTTCTTTCTTTTTCATCTATATTTGCATGTTTGAATCAAAAAAATTTTTTTTTTTTTTTGCTTTTCCCTGTTTACATTCAACGGATAAATTATTCAATCAAATTCTATCTATCGTTTTTTTTTACTTTGAAAATCAAATTCTTTCATCCACGAATTTTTGGCCGGTCGATTTCTTTGATATACTATTTTTTTCTACTCTACTCGACTTGACTTGAATATCACCTGGATGGTTATGTTTACCAACGAAAAAAAAAAAAAAATAAAAAAAAAAATAACATCATTCCAACGTACACACATGTGATGAAGATATGTGCCTAAGGTAGGAATGAGAAAGAGAAAAAAAAAATTGAATAAATTATAAGATTCAATGTATACTGTTGCTGTTGTTAAACCATGTCTAATTTTTTTTTTCTTCTTTTTTTTTTGTTTTGTTTTGTTTTCCCGTTTACATCAATATTTCATGTTCGCATTTTCATTCAACGAAAATTATTCGAAAAACGATGAATGAATGAATGAATCACTGAAATGAATGACCAATGGACATTTATTTTTTTTTTTGCTTGATTGAAAATGGAATGTTCTTTTTTGGCCATTGATGGCAATCAATCATGGAATTATTGTTTTTTTTTGTTTTGTTTTTTGTTTTCATTATCATCAAGGATTGGCCGCCAGGTCAATTTTTGCCAATTAATGGAATTAGAGTCGATGTAAGTATGATGAATGAATGAATCTAAAATTAATAATTGTTTCACTTGTTCCAAAAATGAAATGAAAAAAAATAGCTAGCCAAATCTGGAATGAATTCCGTATTCCTAAAATTTATCGATATTAATACGGCAGGTCTTTACAGGTATATGATGATTATTGTTCATTTCTATTTGCAAAAAAAAATATTAATTAATGATTATTGCCCATATTTTAAAGATGTGAAGTATCAGCCGAAGCTCCATCATTTGTTACAGCCGAAGGTGAAAAAGAATTACAAGTAACAGGTAAAAAACTTTGTTGGATTGAAATTTGGTTAATTAATTAAAAGTAGTTTAACTTGATATTTAAAGAATGATGACAATCTAATTATAATAAGGCTAATTATATATGTTAATTAAGATGAAAAATGAAATATATATGATTATAAACATGTAAATTATGTAAGAGAATTTGGTCATATTAAATTAGACACAAAAACAGGTGTGAATTACATTATTCTAGAAGAATATTCTCAATCATCTTATTATTAATTTTTTTTTGTAAATTTATCATCATTAATAATATTTTCGAGAAAAAAAAACGCAAAGAATCCTATTAGTGGATGAGATTGATTAATGATGAAATTTTTTCTTTTCATTTACAACACACACACACACACACACACATACAGTATTGCCATTGAGTGGTCCACAAATCATTGGTGTACAACCATCATATAAAGTTGGCGATGAAGGTAAGTAGAATATGCAGCCAATTTTTTCATATAGTAAAATTTATCAATCTTTGAAATGATTTGACATCAATAAAAAAACAGTGAATCTAACCTGTATATCGGCCAAAAGTAAACCATTCTCGACATTACGATGGTAAGTATTGGTTGTTGCATTTTGTTAAATGAATCATTTGGTCCATTGTAATAGAAATAATAAATTCAAAACACTTGAATTTATTTTCGTTTACCTAAATTCAAATAAGAAGATAACAAACAAAAAAACCCACTTGTAATAATGTACATACAAGCAATAATGAAGAAAAAAAATAATAGAAAATTATCACATCATAACAGTTAATTATTTACCGGATCATCATCATCATCAACAAAAACGATCCAGGAACTTGATGATAATAATAATAATAACAACAATGACTGACTGAATCAGGAAACAATTGATGAGAGACAGAGAACAAAAATAAACAAAGCTAGAAAAAAAAACTCCAAACAATGATGAGCAATAAAAGGAAACACCTATTTTGACTGAAATGAATATCGTTATTATTGCAATTCTACTCAGGTTATGATGTGTTCAATAGGTCCCCAATCGATGATTTATAATTTTTATTACCAAAAACAACAAAAAAAAGTGTCTATTCTAATTAATCATTCACATTCACTTTGACCATTCTGTTTATTTTCATTTTATAAACTATATACCGGTTTTCGTTTCATCAAAAAAAAAAAAAAAATTCATTTCCGATTGGCAACAACAACTTGAAACGACAACGAAAACAACACTCAATTTATCCTGGATTGATTGGATTCAACAAACACACATTAAATGAACAATTTCTTGTTTCATAATAATAACAACATAGGCACATCAACAATAAAGAGGTAATTTGTCTTTCCTATATCAATGTTTGTTTGTTTATTTATTGTCACGAATGAATGAATTTTACCTGATGATCATTCTGTTTTGTTTGTTTTTCACATTTTTTTGTTTGTTTGTTTGTTTGTTTATGTTTGTTCATCATGTCCTCATTCTATTTAATGACTTTATTATTATGACGCTGACGTTGATGATGATGATGATTATTCTATCTAAATTACTGTATTGTATTGTATCATTATTGTCGTTTGGATATATGTCAATAATTAAAAAAAAAATAGGTTAAAAATGATGAATATCATATTAGTAATGCATCTCACGTCATACATGATGATAATCTTGAAACGAGCAGTACACGATTACGATTTGTTGCACTTGACAAGGTAATTATTGATTCACGAATGAATGAATGAGGAATAGGGTGATGGTCTCAAATAATCATTATTATCAATGGAAATTTTTTTTTTTTACTCAAAAAACAGCATTTTAAATCCGGCATTATACGTGTAAAATGTACATCGACCGTTATTCGTATGCATACAATGAGTAATGAGATTATTCTACGTACAGAAATACCGATGACATCGGATAAATATCTTGATAATTATCTAAGTGAAACATTAAGTCAAATACGTAAGTAGTATATTAAAATTAAAATCTAATTTTATAATAATAGAAAATAAATTAACACATTTGGTATGGAAATAGCCAATGATGGTGGACAATCATATCGACAACGAAAACAACAATCATTGCCATTCATCATTATCATCTCGATGACAATAGTCAAAATAGCCACAATAATATTCTAGATTTCATTTTTCACATTCAATTCATCACCAATCAATCAATCAATCAATCACTGGATATTGATAATCAATCAATCAATCCTTGTTTTGTTGTTACTATTATTTGTAAACAAAAATACTAAAATAACTTTTTTTTTTCTTTCTCTTATACACTCTAATAAAACAAAACAAAAAAACAAAATGAATTGCAATTACAATCGAAAACAAAGAATTTGAAATTAATTGATTAATAATAAAAGAGAAATTTCTTTCTTACTGTTTGTATTTCATTCATTCATTCATTTTTTTTTTTGATTTAATAAATTATCATAAAATCAAAACTATCTTGTAATATTAATAATTGGATGGATGGGGTAAATTCTGGTTGATTTCACAATTCAATATGCACATAATCCGATTGAAATGGGGAAAAAAAGAAATGAAAGGAAAGCGAAAAACCAAATAACTTAAATTGGGCCCAATATATATCATTGAAAAAAATTTGAGATGTATATTGTAATAGTAGAATCACCACTATCATCATGTAGAATATTTTCAAATAAAAAAAAAAAAATTTGGTCATTGTGTTCTAGTTATTTTTTTAGTTTTTGTTGTTGATGGTGGTGGTGGTGGTGGTGATGGTGAATTTCTGGTATAAACATCAAAAACCAAACTTTTTTTTCTTGGTCCGTATAATATGATATGATGTTTGTGGATATGACATGATTTCCAGATGTTTTTATGATCGTCTTCATTACTTTTTTTCTGTTGTTCGATTTTGTTTTTCATCATTTTGTCATTGAAAATTTGTTTTTCTCTTTTTTTTCGACCGTTTTCGTTTATGATGCTCACATTTGCACTGACAATCATTGCTGCTGACGATGATGATGATGATGATGCTATTGTAGCTGGTATACACGAACAAAACAAATAAATTATGTGATTTTTATGATAAAAACAACAAATGAATGATTTGTGGCCGTGGAAAAAAATAATGATTTTCAATCCTGGATTCAGAGACATCATCAACAACGAAAAAAATGACCACGAATATTCTTTTGAGCAAAAGTAACAGTAGTGATCTAAAACTGTGGAAATAGAATCGAATTTATTGAATATTTTGATTTATTTTTTTGTTCACAAAACAAATCAAATCGAATAAAAAAAAATCATAATCTTAGAAGATTATTTATGTCAATTTCATTCCTTTTTCTATGATTATGATGACATTTCATAAATACAATTCCATCACAATCTATGATTCATTTGATCATGTGATTATAATGAACTTTTTGTCATCGTCATCATTGATTGGTGAATTCAATTTCCTTTTTTTTTTGCCTGACAGATCCTAAATCAAGCCATTGGATCACCATCATCAGACAGGTCCATATCGATGACAATAATAAAAAATAATAATAAATTTTGATTGCTCAATAATATTGATCAGCTCAACAACAACAGCAAAAAAAAATGGTTGCTGAAATTCTGATTAGAATTCAACATTGAGAAAATGAATCGTTTTCGTTAATGTGTCAATCGGCGTTCGTTTTTTTCTTCCTTACTCGCTAATGTTCCGATTTTCGGAAACCATCCATTCCATTTGGTGGGTTATCATTATCATTGGTTTGAAATTTTCCTTTTCATTTGACATTTTTTTTTGTTCTCTTTTGTACTTCACAATCTCCGCTTTAGATTGTTTCCATAGTTTTTCTTGTTGTTGTTATTGGAAATGACACAATCAAACGTCGAAATCATCGGATGAGAATGAATCGCATCATTTTATTCTACCGTTATTGTTGTAATGAACAAGACAAGAAAAAATACAAGAGATATCTGGAAAATACGTTAAGAATTTATGCCCGGAAGGTGAAACTTTGTGTACCTGAACGTGTATGCAATATGGCCATTGAAACATCCACATGCACGATGTCTAGTGAACAAACCCTAATGGATTGTATTTAATATATTCTTGTGTTTATTTAAATGGAAAATAGAATCAATAATTTACACATCGAAAAAAAATCATTGAGTAAGTTGAATAATTAAAATTTTCGAAATTCCATTTGATTGCATAAAGAATTTGTTTTGTTTTTTCGTAGCTTTTTGCTGTATTTAAACACACACACAAACAAAAAAAATCCACTATATTCATTCGTTTTCGTATAAGTCATTAATGAACATTATCAAATGTATCATGTCATACGTTGCCAAGAAAAAATGTTTTTTCGGTCGTCAATTGATTGCAGCAAAACTGACAATGTTAATGATTCGAAATGGAGAATTAGGTGAAGAAAAATTCATGGAAATTGTGAATGTCAATTCAAGTAGGAGAAAATTCTATAATAATCATGTCTGATAATTTTTTTTCTTCTATTCCGTTTCCTTTGTTAGTTAATTATTAAATTTGTGCACACTTGACATCATTATTCAAGTGGAAATCTTTGAATCACGAATCTAATAGTTTTTACCCGATAGTGAAAAATGAAATTGAAGAAAAAGAATTGCAAAATGTAAATGTGTGTATAACAGCAAGAATTGAAGAACCGATTTATGAAAAACATGGCCATTATCGTCTATCAGTATAAACCATTTTTTTTCATTTTTGTCGGTCTTGGTTTCATGATGACATTATTCTTTTCCCTGTTTTTTTTGATGTCTTGATTATCGATTATTCATTAAACATTATGCATCATCATATAGGAAAAGAATTGAAGAATCGATCGTAGTGAGCAAAAAAAAATCCCTGCTTTAGTAATCCATATGTTTATATGATGTCGGTGATGACAAATTTTTCATGATAATGATGATGTGTAATACTCGAATGAAACAATCAATCAGATCTATTTAACCAGTAGAAATATTGGACATTCATCCTTCCATCATTAATTTTGCCCAACTAAATCAACTTATTCATTGAGAATTGATTCAAATTCTTCAAAAAAAAATTTTTTTTGTTGATGAAAAAAATTCAGGTTTCTAGTCAATCTAGTTGAATTTTATATTCTCTTTCTCACTCACTGGACTTTTAAGAATTTTGATGACTATGACAAAAAACATTTGTTCATCTTTTTAAATTCTGAACCAATCATATCATCATAATGATGTGTATTGTATACAAATCCACTTATGCTAAATGAATTCCGAAATCTTTTTCATTGAAGCAAAAAAAAAAAAAAATCTGCCTAGATATGAATTTTTTTTTTTGTATAGAAATATAATATGATCCTAAAGAATGACACGCCTATCAATATTTATGTTAATAATAAGCTTGATTGATTTATTATCATCAAATGTAATTCGAATAGCTTGTGTTTTATCAGTCAGAACAAAATCAAAAAAAAAAATATAGCCAAAATCCAACCTGTATCTCAATACAAACTAACGATAAAATTTATCTAACATTACATTGTTTCAATTTATACATTAGTAAAAATAGGAGGTAATTAAGACATTGTTCTTTGGAAGAAATTTTCAATATTCTAATTCTGAAATATTTAGTAGTTACCTATCTTTTTTTTACAGATATGATTAGCGAGTGAGTAAGTGAGTGTGTGTGTGTGTGTGTGTGTGATCATAATTAAATTTAATCATTGGGCGTTGGCTTGTTGTTTAGGTGCCTGTCAACACCGCGTTGATTTTGATGATTTTTTTTTTTCATCTATCTCAATGGGCTTGATTTTTGTGGATTGGTTATGTATTGAACCGGCTTTTTATTCTTTCCCCACAGATTCTTTATGTTGTAATAATAATAATCTGAACTAGAAGCATTGGAATGTTCATATATGGAAGCAAAGAATCGTTGTTGTTGTTGTTGTTGTTGCCATAAATTCTGGATGGCCAAATATTATATTTATTATGGTGCAAAATATGAATATTACCTGTGTGTGTACCACGCCCAAAGTCTGAACTAGTGAGTCAAGTTTGCAAAGTTTTTATTATTATTATTAGGATATGATGAAACTTGGATGAAATATTTTTGATCTATCCATGATAAAAACATTGAATTTTTAGTTTCTTTTTTTGAGATTTGAGCATCTAACTTGAATTAATCGTTGTTTTATTTTGTTTGTTTCTCATTTAGTTTACATCGATTTATTTGTATTCATCATGTCCGATAATCAAGATGATGATAATAATGAACAACAACAACAACAACAACAGCGACGACGACAACAAAGTTTGGAAAAACAAGAAAGTTATGAAGATAGTGGCGGTGGTGGACATGGTCGTAAAGATTCAATAAGTTCACAGACACGTTCACATACACCTCCCAGCCATTCACCTGGTGGTGAAGTGATTCTTAAATCGAAAGGAAAATCTTCCGGTTCTCGTAGAGGATCGACTACATTTCTTACCAGTGATGACAATATTATTATGGCATTTGGTTCTGGTCGTCGATTATCATCATTCTGTACAACATCATCATATGAGTAAGTGAATCTTTTTTCATTTGTAAAACAAACGACAATAATTTTTATATGAATCAAATACACACACACACATATATATAGAGATACGGCTGTATCGATTGGTGATGAACCATTTACCGAGGAAGAAATATCCGAAACAATACGTGCACATAAACAGATTATTGCTACGATGAAACATCAGAATTGGCCAATGTATCGTAAATTAAAGGTAAGTCTTCAATGTTTTGTTTCTATTAGATTGTTTGATTGATTATTTATAAACCTTTTCCTTTTTTTCTTCTTTACCGTTTATGATCATTATTGAAAATCAAAAAAAAGATATTGAATCGTGCAAAACATTATATTAAAAAGCATGAAGGTGAATTGAAACAATCAAAACAAGCAAAAGATTTGGTTGCCAAATGGAAAGTCTACATGGAAAGGGTTGGTCTTTTTTTTTACAATGATGATAATGATTTTGTCTTGTATGATGTGGCGAGCGAGAGAGAATCGATTTTCGATTTTCTATCATCATAGAATCATTACGTTGATGATTGCTATAACGAGACTAATGTTAAATTTTGTCTGTTTGTTTGTTTGTTTTTTTCATGGTTTATATTCGGATCACAGAGCATCAATCGTATAAAACGTGAATTGGCCAATTTGATTGTGGTCATTACGCCTTGGGAAATGCGAATCAAAAAAATTGAAAGTAAGTATAATATACGGAATCGAATGGAAATAAAATGGATCTTTGTCTCGGATTTTTGTAATGTTTTTGTTTCTGTTGAGAAAATCATTGAATGTATTTTATATGACCACAAATGATCTTTTCTTTTTTTTGATCGATCGCTCAGATCGATTGATTTTCTTGATGTGTGCATGTATGTATGTATGATTTTTGACGTCTTCAAACCATTTTGGTTTGTGCCTGATATCGTGGTCCCCGATATTGTTTATACAGGATATCAGACCATTTTTTTATGTTCATTAGTTTCACAGGTTAATTACCTTTATCAATGAGCATTAGATTTTCTGTTTTTCTGGTTTTGGATTTCCTAGTTTTTTTATAACTATTTATCAGAAGATTTATATCCTTATTTATTTTTTTTCGCAATTTTTCTGGTTTCAAACCATATATAGGCTAAGCTTCTCCGATAGGCTTCTATTAATTTCTATTAGCACCTAGAATTGCGTATTAACTAGAAAGAGTGAATCTGGTTTTCTCTATCCAAAATGCCAGATTCTCAACGTACGTTCAAAGAACCAGAGAAACACTTTGTTTCACATTTATTTTTCTTTTTTTTCTTGCACACAATTTTTCGAGCGTAAAAAATTTTCAAACTACATTGGTAGTGTTGGTGGTCATGATGGCCTAGGATAAATCTCTCTTTTCACCCACATATAAATGACATTTTTCCAACATATAATCGATGTTTTTGGGGTGTCATTTGAATTTTTGTTGTTTTGTTTTGTTTTGTTTCAATGTTTGGCATCGAGAATGGAAGAAGAATCATTGAAAGAGAAACCAATTAGCGACATTAGCCAGAAAAAACGGTATTAGAATCATCATACATTAATCTTGGAAAGCAGAAAAATAAGAATAAAGAAAATTTAAAATCAAATGGATCGAAAATTGAATGGTGCTAAATCGATTTGTTTGGTTATCTATGGATCATTGGAGAGAAATTTATTTTCATTTTGAAAATTTTTTTTTCTTTGTTCAAAATTACTATGATTGAAATGAATACATTGTAATAAATTTTGTTTCTTTTTTTTTTTTCAAAAAAAAAATACAGGCCATTTTGGTTCAGGCGTTGCATCGTATTTTATATTTTTACGTTGGGTATTCTGGGTGAATATCTTTATCAGTGTATTCATTTGCTGTTTCCTAATGGTACCGGAGGTATGTAAACCAATCGATAACCAAAAAACACTTAACTTATTGTACGTTTGGGGTTGACAAATAAACTCATCCATTTCATGTGTCTATTGTGTGTGTGTGTTTTTGCGGCTTGAATTGATTTAACACACACACACACACACTATTATTATTCGATTTTCTCATTTTTTTTCCATAGTTATCGAAAACATTTATCACATGCTTGAAAATGAAATCCTTATGGAATCTAGCTATTTTATTTTTTTTTCATTTTTGTTCTTATTTTCATATCATAGGTTTTACGTGGTGATCCAGATCCGACCGGCATGCGAAAAGAGGTTGAAGATGCTGAAGAATCGCTTAAATTACAGGCCATCTGGGATTTTGAGGTAAGAAGCTTCAAGAAGAATTTGATTTTATCCGAAAAAAAAACTAAAACTTCTTTTCTGTCCGTTCATCCATACATTATGTAGGGATATTTGAAATATTCACCCATATTCTATGGTTATTATAGTAAAACTGAAATGACTAGTGAAGGTATGAAACATTTTGGTTCATTTATTTCCATTTCAATCACACATGCACACAACTCAACACCAAGAAAAAAAAATATTCCGGCACAAGTTCCAGAGTCATCATCAAGTATCCTGGCCAAACACGCACAGAGTAAGAAAAGATGTCAATTAGCCGACAATTTTCTGTTTCTGGCAAGCAAAACAGAAAAGAAGAAAAAATCTGGTTTTCAACGATCATAAAACACAGAAAAAATTTTTTTTTTATACGAAAAGAAGCTAGAATTTATTGGAACCATGAATGAATGAATTTTACACATTTCGAAATTCTATAATACATTTGTTATTAATGTATCGGTAGATTTGATTTGATTTGTTGGCTCAATTATCTTCACAATCACCATCATCATCATCATTATTAATATTGAATATATTCAAAAAGAGAGAAAATTCAATTTTCTATGAATATTCATCCATCCATAATAATTTGATTCTACTCACACACACATGGAAATTGACAGAAAAATAGGATTTTCAATTTTGAAATTTGATCTCAAGATTCATTGATCTTTTTGATTTTTTTCCTGGCCGATTAGGTTATCGATTACCATTGGCATATTTTCTTACAACATTCTGTCTTTATATGTTTAGCTTTTTCTGTATTCTACGCAAGTAAGTTTTCTTTTTTTTTGTTCATTTGTAGAAAATAATAATTATTCAATTTTTTTTTTGTTTTTTTTTCTATAAAATTTATTCATTTGTTTTGTTACCATAAAAAAAGAATGGCACAAAATTCTCGTATGAGTCGTGTAGCAAGCAAAGATGATGAATTTACATTCTGTTGGAAAGTGTTTACCGGTTGGGATTATATGATTGGTAATAGTGAAACGGCTTATAATAAAGTTGCATCATTGGTCATGAGTCTAAAAGAATCGATTCTCGAGGAAAAGGAACGAAAAAAAGAGGAAAGAAATTGGAAATTATTCGCTATACGTATATTTACAAATATTTTGTTCGTATCGTTTAATTGTTTTTCTATTCATTCTATGATGATATAAATATTTCTGAAACCATTTCTATTCAATTTATTGCAGGGTACTGTCATTATTAGCATCATCGGCTTATGGTGTCGTATTGGTGGTGGATAGATCACAGGAACCGATTGAAAATCCATCATGGATACGTGCAAATGAAGTGACATTAGTATTTGCCGGTATCGGTATCGTATTTCCCAATATATTTGATTGGATTGGCAATATGGAACAATTTCATCCTCGTATTGCATTACGATGGCAACTTGGAAGGTAATAAGGTCGAAATTTTTCTTTTGTGTCGATGTCAAGAAACAAAATTGACAAAATTCGAAAAACGCATAAATCATTTTACAATTTTCTATCACTTTTTCTTTCGACTTTTTGACGGAATATTCCCGAACCGAACTGAACTCATATCTATCGACGACCTTAGACTTTATGCAATATCCGTTTTTATTTTTTTTTTATGAAATTGATGATGATGATGAATACCCACCACCTTCAATCCATACACAATATGTTACTCATGAATTTCATCATCATCATTGGAATTTATGTTTTATTTTTTTTTTGCATATCAATTTTTTTCCTTTTCTTTTCACTCATTTTTCAACCCTAAGGCTACATTATGATGATGATGATCATAATGTTGGTGTGCGCGCGCGAGGGCATCACTTTTTTTTCATATTACTGACTAAGAAAAGTTTCATACGACTGGCTTCCAGCGGTCTTTTATTTTTATTTTTATTTTTTTTTCTTTTTGTTTAGTCATTTTGCCATCATCATCGTCGTAGTTTTTGAAACAAAAATTCTTATTCTTTTGAAAATTTAAAATTTTTCTTTCTTTCTTTTCGATTCTATTTATTCTAATAATTTTATACGTAAGTAACGGAATTTTTCCCATTTTTTCATCTTCTCTCTCTCTCTCATTGATGACAGAATTTTGATTCTAAATTTTTTAAACATGTATACATTAATGTTGTCATTATTCGGTAAAGTCGATTCAATGGTAAGTTTAATGTGTGGTGGTATGATGTTAAATCATTCAACGTGATCAATCTTTAAAATTTTGTTTTTTTTTCATTGCACAGACAACACAATTATTGGAAATCAAAGCAAATATAACGATGCAAAAATCACAATTTGATACGATTGCCATAACAACGATGGCCACTTATTATCGAATCAAACGTGATGGTCGTGCTGGTTAGTTCTGATTATTCTTATAATTGTTTTTTTTTTTTTACTATTTCTATTTATATTTGAAATTCATTCAACATTCTTATATGCTGTCATTTGATTGTTATAACTAGAATATGAAGATTATGATGACAATTACAATGATGACGATATGATCACTAATGCACCATCGATCATTTATGATCCATATGAGATACAATCCCGTAAGAAGCCGGATTTTTCCATCGAAGGCCGCTATCATTTCAATACTGATCCGTAAGTTTTTCTCAGTCGATTGATCATCGATGATTGAAGACGAAAACTTTCGTAATAAATAAATAATAATTTTTACCAATTATAATTTTAAATTCTAATTTTGATTTTCAATCCATTATGACATTTATAGCGAAATTGAAGGCGATGAATGGCATACAACAACCGATAGAAGTGTTTGGCATTTGGAAACCACAACACCGATTACAATGATGACAGCGGCTGAAACTTTTGTGACGGATGACCAACATAGGATTCAACAAACATCTCAATCATCATCTAGTTCTAAACATTCGACAACAGCCGCTGGAGCTACATCATTGAAATCGATGGCTTCAACAACCACAAAATTCAATGATTCATCATCATCGCCGTCACGAACAACTCAAGCGATAACATTATCAATGACAACCGGATCAACACCACCACCGTTACATCTGAGTGGCAATAGTTTTGGCCGTAAAAAAATAAGAAAACCATATAAATTAGGACATCCAACAATGACAACAACAACGGAAATGATTACCGAACAAGTGTTTACCATTATACCGGCTGATATGGTAAATTCTTGCCAAAATAATACCGAATATATTATCACCGATGAAGATCTTATTAATCTGAATGAAACAGAAAAAGATCGATTACGAAAATTATGTTGGGAAACAATGTTTGGACAAGAATTGGTTAAATTGACTGTTATGGATTTTGTATTGACCGTCATCTCAACATTGATCAGTGATTTTTTACGTGCATTAATCGTACGTTATTGTAATGGTTGTACATGCATTTGTTGGGATTTGGAGAAAGGTTTTCCCGGTTATGGGGATTTCAAAATTGCCGAAAATATTCTACATTTAGTCAATAATCAAGGCGTTATTTGGTTGGGAATGTTTTTTTCGCCTGGATTACCGGCAATTAATTCGGTTAAACTTTGTCTTCTTATGTATGTACGATCATGGGCGGTGTTAACCTGTAATATACCACATGAAACCGTATTCAAAGCATCGAGAAATAATAATTTCTATTTCATGTTATTATTGCTCATGCTATTCCTTTGTACATTACCGGTTAGTTATGCTGTCGTTTGGCTAGAACCATCATGGCATTGTGGTCCATTCAGTGGCTATACACGTATCTATAAAATTCTAAGCACTTATATTGAATCCAAATTACCAAAAACATTGAACAAAATACTTGATTATCTTACATCACCAGGTGCTGTATTGCCCACCATTCTATTGTTGGTATTATTCATTTATTATCTACTATCATCGGTATCTGCGTTGAAAGATGCAAATAAAGATTTAAAATCACAAATACGTAAAGAAAAAGATGTATCAGAAACGGGACCAAATCCACCAGAAATGGTTATTACAACCGATGGTGCTGGTGCTGCCGGTGCAAGTAAACATGTTCGAATACAGGAAGATGATCAACAACAACAACAACAACAACAACAACAATCGAAAAATTTGACCAATACAACTATGGCCTCAAATCTTTTGCTGGACAGTTTAGATACGACCAGTGATATTTGAAATACGAAAATTAATGGGAAAACAAAAACTGTCAATAACAAATAATAACAATTCTAATGATGATGGTTGAATCAATCAATCGATTTTTACCCGAAAACAAAAATTTTTAGAACCAAGTTTTTCTTGTTATCCTCACCTCAAAATTTCGAACTGGGATCCCATACAAAATGCCATTGCCTTTCTGGTTTTCGATTGATAATGGCTTCATTTTTTTCGATTCTCATGCATTCTTGAATTCAGACGAATAAAAATCAATAACCCCAACTGCTAAGAATTTAATCCAGTTCAGAGCTTGTGTGTGTGTGTGTGTATGTTTTTTTTTCATTGATGCAATACAAACCCACATTCACATTATTTTGTCAATCCTTAATCATTTAACACTGCATGTTGTATTTTGTGTTTTATTTTGATATTTCAAACAAACAAAAAAATTTCCTTTTTGCGTTATCTGGATTGATTCATTGTGTTCCATTTGGAACCGTTCATATATCTATTGTGTGTGTGTGTGTATGTGTTTACTTTTTTTCACTCATTCTAAATGTTTTTCATCGACAATGTTCAATGCTGTCATTAAAAATCGAAATTTCGATTCTGTTTTTGATGTTGTTTTTCTGGGCTGTTCGATTATTTTTGTTTTTTTTTGTCACCAAAAAAAAACTTAAGTTTATTTTTTCTAAATCGATTAGTATGAATAGATCTAATAGTTTACAATTTTTCTCTTTTAGAATTTGTTTTTGTTTGTTTGTTTGTTTTTTTTTCATTCATCTATAGCTGGGTTATTGAATGGCTTTGTGGAATAACAATGGAAAAAATCGACCGATTCCAAATTGACAACAAAAAAGGCTTCGAGATTCATTCTTGATTAATGTAAACATAACAAAACACAAATTCTATTCATTGGATAATCATGGTCTAGAATGTAGAATCGGATTTTTTTTCTTCATAATCTGTGATGAATATGAATCAAACAACAACAACAACAACAAACAACAAAATGATAATTGCAATCAAAAGAATCTATATTGGTAAAAATCAGATTGACATTGTTGCATATGCTTGTACTGTACCACAATGACAAATGAGACAAAAAAAGAAAGAAAAGAAAAATTTTTGAATAATAATATTTGATAATATGAAAAAAAACGAACGAAAACGAAAGAAAATCAATTCTCATACATCACTTATCCACAAAAAAAAAAGAAAACGATACAAGCGATTTGTAACATTGATATATCGATCACATTCGCAAAAAAAATACAGACAAACACACATGGAAAAAATTCCAGATTCAAATTGCAAACTAGATTTGTATTTGTTTTTCTTTTTTTTTCGGGATCATTGGATTGGATCATTCATTCATTCATTCATTCATTCACCAACGACGATCTTCCATAACCATATCAAAAAGAATCAGAGGTTGAACCAAAGAAACAATTAGGCAAACTACGACAACAATAACAACAACAACAATTTACCATTTAATGACAAAAGAATTGTCGTCGAAGCTAACAAGAACAAAGAATAAAAAACAAAAAAAAGACACAATTGGCCCAGGCAAACACACACACACACACACACATGCACACGATATAAGAATACAAAAAAAAAGTTTCAGAATATCAAGTCAATAAGTCAGTTAGTCAAGTTAGACATATAGTGACAATTGTGTTTGTACCGTATATACGACATCACTTATTCATTTGGTATTCTACCAACAAAAAAGAGACCGAAGAGAAAAGTAAAAGAAATAAATTGATTTGTTCGTCCTGGATTCTTGATTCTGTTTGTTATTCGGGTTTTTTCTCTCACTGAATTTTCGTGATAATGATCCATGATGATGATGATGATGATAATGATCTATTTTGATTTTTATTTCAGGAATTTTGATTTTACCATTATAATCCTCTATAAATGCGTGTGTATGTGTTTGGTTGACAATCATCGTCGTTTTTTCCTTTCTTTCAATTGTGTGTCATATGAAAAGTTTAAATTAAATCATTCGAATGGATCAAATCGATGGATCGTAAGGATCATCATTAAAGATCATCATCATTATCATCATCTTCATCATCATTGTTGAATTAAATGTCATTAAATTTGGAAAAAGTCGATTAGAAATAATTCTGAAATGGGAAAAAAAGCGATTACAGATTTCATTGATAGAATTGAAAAATGATTCAGAATTAAAAAATAGCTCAAAATGAATTAGTGTCGTCATCTATTGAATAAAAATCAAAATCTAATTTAAAAATTATTGACACCAGATGGCAATGTTGTTTGTAAATTCATATTGCTCCAATTTACGGCTATCATTCAAACATTCTAAATATACAGTAATACCCCGCTTAACGCGGGGGTTACGTTCCAAAAATTCTGAGCGTTAAGCGAAACAGCGCTAAGCGGGGCTATCTTTACATAATGCATTTTTACCCTTCATATACAATGTAACAATGTAATGCAATGTAGGGTATACCAATTATACATATGAGTATAGAATATTCTTTAAATTATGATGATAATAGTATAGTATAGTGGCACTTCGATTAACAATAAAAATTACGATCCAAAATTGGTCATTGTTAACCAAAACCATTGTTAAACCAAGGTATCACTGAATATGAATGAAAACTGTGATAGCAGTTTTGAGAAAAGCGACAAAAAATATATACATGTATTTTGGACTATAAACCAGTGTAAGAATCCTATATATATCTTATAAACCTTGATGATAAAGATGAGCAATGCAACAAACAAATACAGACACATACACACACACACACAATCCAATATCATCAAGTCTCCTTGATTTTTTTACGATAGAATTAAAAGAATCGAATTGGTTAAGTTGAAATTTTATTCGATTTCAATAAAATAATCATCGATGATATTTGGCGCCATAGTTGTTTTTTTTCTGTTGTTACTGTTATTGTTACCATTGTTACAAATTATCATTAATTAGATGGAAATTTTTTAACTTTAATTTATTCGTTCCTAGATTATCAGCAGGTAATATTTTTTTTAATTTTTTATTTTGTGTCCAAACAAGATAACACAAAACATTAAAATCATCAATTTCCTTGACAATTTTCAATGTTAATCATTATCATTATCATTATCAATGAATTATTGTGTTAAATGATGTTGAGCTATAAATTAAATATATTAAATAAAATTGCAGGGTCAACATTTATGTTTATATGGTCTGCATTCAAAAAAAAAATCAATCATTGTTTTGAAAATGAATGAAAATTTCAATTCACAATGATAATAATAATGATAATGATGATGATGGTATCCATGGTGTATGGTTATCGATCATCAAAATAAACATCAACAGTTGACAACAAAACAAACTGAAAAAAAAACAATCATTATTGTCATTATCTATTGTGTGTGTGTTTGTGTGAATGTGTCAATATTGATGGTCAATATTTATATCTCATAAATGAAATCGATTTGCCTTGATGTTGTTGTTGTTGTTGTTGTTGTTGTTGTTGTCGTCGTTACCATAGCAATCCTGATGATTATTGTTTCTTCATCATCAACATCATCATCGTAATCTTGTAACATTGGGCCATTGTTTTTTTTTGTCTGTTTTCATCAAATATAATTGGTAAGTTAAAATACAAGTTTCATTTGTGTTTAAAATTTCGATAAAAAAAACATTCCATTATTGTTTATGTGTGTGAATATACCTTTGACCGGATATTGATATAATAACTAAAATTGAGATTTCTATTCGTTTGTTTGTTGTTTCATTTTTCAATTGGTTGATTGATTGATAATTATTATATATCTCCATTCAAATACACCATTAGTGATGATTATGAAGATAATGATAATCAAGGATCATCAAATCTGATGATAAAATTGAGCTAAATAGTGGTTGACAATCTTTTGTTTTCCTATTGATAATGATGACGTTAATCGTTGATTGTTTATTTTAGTTGAATTTTTTTCCACATTAATAAATGTTTTGAACTTTGATTTGAAGGTTTTTCTTTTCACTCAATTTGTTTAAATTATTTTCTAATTTTTTTTTCTTAATTGAAAAACAAAAATGTAAAATTTCTGACCACTCAAAACCAACAACAACAGCAACAACGCCTACACACGAAACAAAATCTGGCCTTGAAACAATCCCAATTATTATTGATCAAACAAACCATGAAATAATAATGATGATGTCACGATTATTCATTTTTTTTTCTAAAATTGTTATGGATTGTTTCAAACGATTGTCTCACTAATCCCGTTTTTTTTTCTTGTAAATAATCGATCCAAATATTCATTAGTGAAACCATAAAATAATTCATTAAAGATCTATGAGAATTCCATTCTCTTTATTGATTTTTTTGATGCTTTTAGAGACAAAACCCACACACACACACACACACACAGTTCAATTAGCAACAACGAAAAAAATGGCATAAAAAAAAATAATCCGAAATTAGAATCAACGTAGTCGTTGGCGGTGGTGGCAAAGAATTTCCATTTCTATTTCTTTTTCTAACATATTTATATCTTCATATTTGGTTTTTTTTTATTTATTATTGTCACATTCTGACATGGCCTCTTTTCCAGTTATTCATTGCATTTGTTGCTGTTGTTGAATAGAATTTCACAATTTCTTACAATAACAACAAAAATTAAGAATATTCCTACATTAAACGACAACGACAACAATGAATGACGCATATATAAAATAAAATCATTTCTTCCTACACTTACACACTGTGTTGTTGTGTATTTTCATTATTCGGATGTAATGCTATCAAATTGAATTGAAATAAAATTGAAATGGCAAGGTGTCAAATCGTCGTCGTCGTTGTCGTCGTCGACGACGACGACGACGACACTGGAATGAGGATGCTCATCATCATCATTATCATCATCGAAACAAAAACGACGAACATTTTGTTTATTGCTTATTTCAATTTCAATGTTGTCCTTCTTATGTGTGTGTGTGTGTGTTTATAATGAAGAAAAAATGAATCTCAATTTCATTCTACCACAGATTTTCATTACACACATGTATGTTGATTTCCATTTTTCGATGCAACAAGTTTTTCTTCAAATTTTTTTTTTTAACCACCATTTGTTCATTCATTTAGTTTGTTTGGTTGTGTTTGTTTAATTCATATTTTAATATTTACGTGTGTTGTTGTTGTTGTTGTTGTTGTTTCAGCTTTTGGTTAAATTTGTGATTTCTTTTTTTTTTGCAGAAAAAAATTTAACGAATCCAATCAATCGATCGATGTGATTTGATTCGATTAGATTTAATTTTTCCATTTTTTTTGTTGTTGTTGTTGTCGCTGTGTTTGTTGTGTGCACAGTTGGTGTGATTCGAATCATTATTGTCATTCGTTTTTTTTTCATTTGTTAAAAAATCAAGTTTTCTGATTTTTAAATTCTTTAAAAAAAAATTTCTCAATTTTTTTTTTTTGCTAAACGTATGCAAAAAATTTCCTCTTTTTTTCCATTGATCAATTATGAATTATAATAGGAAATAATCATAATGTAAAATTTTTCTCTCATTTCCATCATCGAATAAAATGATAATAATGAAAAAAAAATGATCGGATCCAGTCTTTAACATCGGGACAAAAAAAAATATATCCGAATTCACTTGATTATAATCTCTTCCTTGCAATAGATCAATTCAATGTGTTTCCTCTTTCCAATAACACTTTGATTGCTAATTTAATAGGTCATGATTTTTGTGTAAAAAAAAAAAAATTCCAGCTTTTCACTCAATGAATAATTAACATTAATCATTGAGTGTAGATAAATAGAATGATCCACTTTTTTCCTTCATTTTTTTTTACTATCAAATAATGTCATTGATGATTGTTTTTTTGTTGTTGTTGTTGTTGTTTTGGATTTAACACTTTCAACAGGTAGTAGAAAATTATTATAATTGGAAAAAAAAATGACCTCGACAACCACCTTTTATCATCATCATCATCATCATCCACCAACGCCATCATCATCATCATCATCATCATCAAGGAATTATTCATCATCATCCAAATATTCTGCTTACTCATCTTCATCTTCTCCCTCATCCTCCTCCTCATCATCGACTTCCGGTTCTCCATCATCGAATATTAAATATAATAATCTTTATTCAATTTCACCTACAACATCATTATTATCATCATCATCATCATCATCATCATATCAGTATAAAACACGTTCATCATATGATCTCAATAATTATCGACCTTCTTCATATCTATCATCATCATATTCATCAACATATTCACCTAAATCATCGTATCTTAGCATCAAAATTTTCGGGTAAATATTTTTTTTAGTAGCAAAAAAACATACAAAATATTCTTGAATAGATAGCTGGAACCGGGAATATGGAGATTTGTTTCTCTTTTTTCAAAATTTAAGTTCTATTGTACTCGTGTGTTTTTTTCAATTGTTTTTTTTTCAAATGTTCATCTCATCATGAACACCACGTTTTTAATGTGAATTTAATAGTTCAAGGTAGATGTATACGGTAATATTTTAGATTTTTTTTCTGTTTCTGAAATAACACAGGTAAATGTCATTATCATGTGTTACATATAATTAATATAATAATCAGACACACCAGATGAGAAGCAAAGAAACAAAAGCATGCACACACACACATAATACATACAGCTGTCTGTCTGTATTATGGCTCCAAAAAGACGGCATCATCAATTTGGTAGTTGTAGTGTTTTGTAAATCAAAAAAAAAAAATTGAAAACCAAAATGAAAATGAAAATGCAAAAAAAAACCTTCTTTCAAATACAACCGGTTAGCAGCCACATATGTGACATCCACTGACTGAGTGAGTCGATCAATGATCATGATGATGACGATGACGTGAAAAAATAACGACGCCAATGATGATTATCAAATGGGATAATTTTGGAATTTTTCCTCTTTTTTTTTACATACACTGTTTGTTTGATTCCATGTTGTCTAGTTTTTTCTCTTTCTCTTTCTTTTTTTTCTGGTTAATTATTATCGTCATCATGATCGTGGTTGTGACGGCAACAACGCTATAGTTGATTGATTTTTATCTTTTTTTCTCTCTGATGATGAAAAATTATTTATGATTATGGATTGTCATTTGTTGAATGATCATTTTAAATTCAACAATTATACTGGTTAGATCTATGGTCTTTTGAGAATCTTTTGTCAGTTGAACCAAAAGATTCGTAGATTTTTATTCTCATTGTATACAATTGTCATTGTGTGAGTGTGTGAGTCTAGAATTTTTTTCTCTTCATTTTTTCGGTTTCATTGAGTTTAAATAACAAGAAAAAAAAATACAAATGGCCGTAGCAATCGGTGGTAGCACACAAAAATCATTTAATAATTTATTTTCATTTTCATCATTGGCAACAACATTATCATCATCAATATTAGGTGTATCATCATCACCACAACCATCATCATCATCATCATCATCATCATCGACAACAATATCAACATTAAGTAATTATTCACCATCATCATCACCATTATCAACAACATCGTCAACGGTTACATTAACAAGATTTAATCATCGTCGTTCATCATTCGATTATGGTAATGATGATGATAATAATAATATCGATAATGGATTCAAGGTATGTTACATTATCCTTTTCATAACATATTTCAATATTCATAATCAAAATGAACACATTTGACACATTTTGGCCAATTTCTTTTTTGCCATTGCAAAAAAAAAAATCTCAATGTTTAGCATTTTTTTTCCTAAACGCACAAACAAACTATGACTATTTGGATATAGATATTTTATTTGACAATTTGTCCCCGCTTGATTTTTTTTTGTCAAAAAAAAATCAGAAAAAGTAAAAGTAAAAGGGAAAAACATTGTCAATATCATTGGCCTAAATCGACAATTACAATTGTGTAGTTTACAGTAGCAATTTGATTTTGTCAATTTTTTTTTCACATCCTTTTTTTTCTCGCTTTTGACATTTTATTTGGAAATTTTTTTTCCTGATTATTGATCAAGGAAAAAAAGACAACAAGTATAGACAGGATTTGATTAGTCGATTAATCGATCGAATCAAATCAAAAAAAAAAAAAAAAAATTCAAAATTCTGAAGAATTTCAAGTTGATTCGGCTAATTATGGTTAAAAAGAAAAAATGTTTTTCAACACAATAATCGTAATTAATCAATATTGTAGTAGAATAAGTCGAGTAGAAAATTTCAAGGTAAACACGTAGAAATTATGTGTTCAATGTTGATTCTCTAATCTGTTTTGCAATAGTTTTTCGATCCATTGATTGATTGATTAATTTCATTCCTTTATCTAATAAAAATTACTTCATTTTTTTTTTTTTTTTCATAGTCAGAAAAATTACCGGTTGCCGGTCTTAGTAATCTGGGCAATACATGTTATATGAATTCCGTCATACAGGCATTGTTTGCGACCAAATCATTTCGTGATTTTTTAATGGCTAACCATGAACATGGACAACTTTATTCGGGTATGTGTATGGTGATGATCTAAGATGAACAAGATGTTTTTTTCTTATTCTTATTCTAATAATCTCTTATCGTATTGTTCAATGAAATAGCATTATCACGGTTATTCAAAGAAATGTCTTCATCGATTCGTTATGGTCATGTGAATCCATCACAATTTCGTTCAACATTCATTCAATTGGAACCGAAATTTAATGGTTGCGAGTATGTCTAATGCATTCATTATTAAGCTTTCTTTTTCTCTAAATTGTTTTATTTTTCTATATTTTAAAAACAGACAACAAGATGCTCAAGAATTTCTAAGCTATGTAATTAATGATCTACATGAAGAATTGAATAAACCAAGATCCAGATCATCACGTTCATCAGCGATCATGTTGGAACCAAAATCAGCACAGGAAGCATGGTCAATATATCGTGATCGTTATAATGATTCAAAATTGGTCGATATTTTTGTTGGACAATATGCATCGGTAATTAAATGTAGCTATTGTGGTAATGAAAGTACTTGTTGGGATCCATTCTGGGATCTACCATTACCTGTACCAAGAAATCGTAATCGTATCGATATTGATGAATGTATAGCCGAATTTACCTCAGCAGAAATATTGGATGGCAATGAACAACCGGTATGTATTCATTCACTAATCATCACTAATTAATTGGGAAATCCAAAACATGATTATTTTTTTCTGTTGTTTTTTTTTTTGATTTCAAACCGGAAAATTATTTATATATTATTTTTATTTATAGTTTTGTTCACGCTGTAAACAACACCGTAAATCAACCAAACGTCTTTCGATAGTTCGTTCACCGAAAATTCTAGTGATACGTAAGTGTTGTTGTTGATATTTTTGAATTTCTTCTTCTTTTTTTTACCTATTATTACAATGATGATGCAATTGTATGAGAATAAAATTGTTGTTGTCGTTGTTGTTGTTGTTGTTGTTGTATTGTGGTTGTGATTGTTTTCATTGTCTATTTATCTCGTAAATAATAATAATAATAAAAATAAAACATCATTATCAATACAAACAAATAAATAAACAAACAACAATTTAATGACAATTTTTTTTTCAAATGAAAATTCCATTTAAAATTTCTTTTTCTATTTTTATGTTTTTTTTTTTTTTTGATTTTATATAGATTTGAAAAAATTCTCTAATAATGGCTATAAATTGTCTAGTGATATAAATGTAAATCAACAGATTCGTATTGATAATGGTAAGAATGATGATGATGATGTGATAAAGATAATATCATCATCATCATTATTATTAATGTATATAGATTGATAGGTAATAATGAATATTTTCATCCATTTCATTTTCATTGCTATTAGGTTCATCATCATCATCATCATCATCATCAACAATGGTCACATATGAACTATATGGATGTGTATGCCATCATGGATATCTATCACGTAGTGGCCATTATACTGCCTATTGTCAATATGAACAACAACGTTGGTATCATTGTGATGATCAAAAAGTTCGTGATTGTACTGATTCATTTTCAATGGCAACATTAAAAGATGCATATGTATTGTTCTATCGACAACAAGATCATTATTCATCATCAAATACTAACACCAGATATTCATCAAGACTTTAGTTTCTATTCATTTGAATCAATTAGATCATATTGGAATTGTTGCAAAAATTTTAAAAATTCAAATTCAGCTCATTTATTATTGTGTGGTCATAATCACAGTCAATCAACTTGAACCAAAAACCAAAAACAAAAACAAAACTCCGTGTACAGCCGAACGTAGTGATTTTAGCAAATAAAAATAGAAGAAAAAACAAAAGAATCCCAAAGAATTTGTTTCAGAATCGAAACAACGACGATGATGATTATCCGTTCTCTATTATTATATTGATTAATTGTTAAATATTTATTATGATGAAAAAAAATTTTAAATTTTAAAATTTCGCCATGTCAACAAAGAGAGAGAGTAAAAAAAAAATTCAATAAATTGAAATAAGCATTTTTTGTGATGTTAAATATATAATGATTATTATTATAAAATTTTTTTTTCAAAATTTAAATAAAAAAATTATGAAAATTTTCAAATAATCAAATAAAGAGATGATCATTTTGTTCATATTCAATGACCAATTTGCATACGAATATCGAATATCGAATCGAATTGTCGAAATGTCAGTCCACACACTTAATACATACATATCATTTCAATATCAAAAAAAAAAAAAAATTTCTTTTCTTTCAAAACATTATGAAAATAAAGATGAAAAAAAAATTGAATTGAAATTCAATCAACAATTCAATTCGTGTGTCTTTCTTTTTTTTCTCTATTTTCTTTACATTCATTTATGATCAAGAATGATGAACAGAAAGATTTCTCCATTGTCTACATTTATTGTGCCGATGTCAATCATTACGGTCAGCCACGATCATCATCATCATCATCGTCATTTTATTATATAAACTTGAAATAACAATCGAAACCAAGTCTGAAAAAAAAATCCAAAGATCCCGAATTTTCCAAGAAAAATGTCATTTTAATTGTATTTTTTTTTCTCTCGAAAAAAAAACAAATTGATTTTCTCAAAAAGTGAATGGAAATTTGTTTTTCATTTTCGTTTTCGTCGCATCTTCGTTTTCACACATCCACAATTGTGTAGATATATTTACAGGTATAAACAACTAAATTTTTTCATTTTCTTTTTCACTCTTTAATGACCATTCCATCAGGTTTGTTGTTCATCATACAGACAAACAAACACATAGGTCAATCATAACAGATTGGACACACATACACACACAATGAAATAGACTTGAATGGATGTTCAAAGATTTGTTTGTTTAGATTCGAATTCGAATTTGATCATCATCATCATCATCATCATTATTATTATTATTATCGTAAAGAAAATATCATACAAAAGACCGGTCAGTTTTTTTTTTGACGGTCGTTGAACGACCACCGACCAAGAAGATCGAGGTGCAACGACCGGTTTGTTTTATATGTGTTTTGGTGTTGGCCATTATTTTTTTTCTGTTACAATGAAATAACAAAAGAGATTAGATAAGAAAGAAAAAAAAATCAATCCTATTTTCTACAATCTCTTGTTTTTTTTTTTTTTGGTGTTGTCCATCGATCATTTTCAATCATTCAATCAATGAAGTTTGAATAAGACCAAAGTTAAAAAGTTGATAATTCGAAATTTCCCAATATTTTCCAAATTGGCCATCAGAGGGCACTTTTGGAAATTGGAACAACCTTTATTCCTCTGAGATTATTCTTTACCAAAAAAAAAACCTTTTTAAGTCTCCAACCAAACCATCATCGTGATACCACTACTCTCGTCAAATCTTTTTGGATCCATACTTGATGATGATGTTCAACTGATTCTATTGCTTCTGCTTACGAGTGTATCAAGTTTGGACTTTTCCATATCATTTTTTTTATGTATTCACAAGGGTCGTGTTTTGTATTCACAAAGGTCGTGTCCCACACACACACACACATACTTCGCTTACAGAATGATGCTATGACCATGGAAACAACAACAACAACAGAACAGGCGAACAATTCATGATTCGAATGAACGAACTAACCAAGAACGACAATAGATGCTATAGTGCCACTAACTATAGTCAACCACTTTGAATCAACGAACTAAAACCAAACTAAAATCGACCGACCGACCAGAAAAGCTCTCAACATTTCAATGTGTATATGTTATATATTGAGTATATGTGTTGGCGACTCTTTCATTTCATCATTAAATGTTTGACAATCGACTATAGTTCTCTTTCTCTCTCTCTCAATAATATCTTGATTGTTGGCTGTGCGAAAAAAAAACATTTCCATTTCATTTCGAAAAACATCGTCGTCGTGGTTGTTGTTCCCACTACTGTTGTTTGTTGTTCGTTCCAGAAATTTTTCATTTATCACACAACCATAAACAACAACAAGTTCTGGTTAACTTTGATGGGTTCTGGTTGTGTGCATAATTTTTGTATGTTTGTGTGTGTGTGTGTGTATGTTTTCCCCAACTGTTTGATGTTGTCACCTTTTTTCCCATTAATTTTTTTATTCTCTTCATCCATCTCCACATTGACATTGAATATTCATCAATCATTGTTGTCATTTTAATTCATAGTTTAATGATGATGGTGACATTCGTTATCACAAGTGTATCGAAGCATTGAAGAATTGAATAAGAATAAATTTTTGTATGAATGATCATCATCATCATCATCATCATCAAAATCGATTCGATTCGTTATATCATCAATTGTATTCATGCATGTTTTATTTTGTCCAACAACAATATCTGATTGTTAATCACATACATCACGTTTTTTTTATGATGATATATGATAATGCCATTCGATTTGTAAATTTGAATTTCGATTCGAATAAAAAAAAATTGAATCTTTTTTCACGACATCATGTGTGAATGATGATGAAATCGAATGTGTGAATCAGGTAATATATAGTAGTAGACCTATTAAAACACACATTTTTGAAATCAACAACAAATGAATCGTGAACGTTTTATTTGTTTTTGTGAAAAAATAAAATCAAAATCCTTCAACATCATCACCGGAACAATTCTGTATTCTATTCTCATTATATATCGCAAACAGGGGAAAAAAATTTAATTGTTTTTTGTGTGTGTGTGTGTGATGTGTATGTCTATGTGTGATTAAATGATTCCAATACATCGAGGTGTGCCCATTGTTCACATATAAAAAAAACCCATATGAACCATTCTTCGTTTTTTTTCTACTGTCTTTGTCTTAAAAAAATCTGTCTAATTTTCCACACACACACACAAAAAAAGTTTTTTTTTAATGGTCACATGAATACGAAGAAATTTGCGAAATTCATTCACCAGTAAAAATTGATTTCATTATACCTTGCAAACACAAACATACAAACACACACACATGTTGAACAAATTCGTTCATGAATGGATGAATGGAAAGTTTAGTTCCACTTGAATTGTTGTAATAGTCACCATCATCATCATCATCATCATCATCATTTCTGACAAAGAAAAAAAAACCTTTCAACAAACCAGAACTTGCATCTACTATAGTATAACCATCGATAATAAGAAATAATATAATTTCGATGTGAAATTGAAAAATTTTTGTAGTTTGTGCCATCCAATGATTGCTAGTTTTTCTATATGTGTTTGTGTGTGTGTGTGGATGTCCGGTGGTCTTTTCTTTATTCTCATCATTCCAACGATGATGATGATCATTTCAAAATAAGTAAAACAACAAAACAGCCGCAACTTTTACGTTGTAATAACGTTCATTAGGTGTGTGTGTGTGTGTGTGTGCGCTGTGTCCGTGTGTGTGTGTGAATGACTCATTTTCGATTTCATTTTTCTCATTGTCTCTGTGTGTGTGTGCGTGTGTGTTAACGTTCAGTTGTCATTTCGAATTTTTTTGTCTTTGAATTTTTTTTTTATCGTCGATTGATTTTTGTTTTTTTTTCATTTTCATTTTTTGCCATCCAATCTAACAATAATCTACAATCTGATCAATTCTCACCCATGTGTTTGTTATATATGTTTCCATGGCCGTTTTTTTTTTACTCCAGTTGCTCTGACAAACACACACACACACACACAGGAAAAAAAATAACGTTCATTTCGTCATCGTTTATTGAATTTCATCATAATCATCTTATGACGACGAATTTGGCCGATTAAAACCATTGAACTATTTCCATTATTCTCAATTGCGATCACTGTGTCAAAAAAAAAATGTCCATCGCCGCCTATTACATCGATGATCCTGTTGATTATCGAAAAAAATATTCGTCACCATCATCAAATTTTGTGAAACAGATAATATTAGCTGATAGAAGCAAAATGTATCCACAATCTTCATATCATTCGCCAAAAATTGTGATGTCAAATCGAAAACGAATTTGGTCCTTATATTCATCATCGATATCATTATTATTTTGTTCATTATTCTTATTATTATTATCATCAAATAATGGTAAGTTTTATATTTCATTTTGTACATTTTTTTCGTATTTTCGTATCATATAATATTAAATAATTAGATCAATAAATCAAAAATTGAATCGAATCAAAATTCAATTATATAATTCTCATACACTTATAAACATAGGTAATATTAGTTGATTGAATCAAAAAATCAAATCAATCAATTGTGGATAATATATATCGATCACAAATATTATCTATTAATTCAACCAATAGAATGATAGAGAGATGGAAAATCGAGCAAATCCAAATTTATTTTTTTTTTTGTTCAATTCAATTGAATTACAATTTCATTATTATTCGATTGATGAATACGAATTTCCCTCATTGCTATGGCTGGTTTATGATCATTTTGTTGTTTGTTTGTTATTGTATACTGAATGTATATATATGTATTATGTGTTGTATTAATACATTTTGACTATAACAAATAACAACAACAACAACAAAAACAAATTGTATTGATCCATCCATCCTTGTTTGTCATAAGGATGGATGGATGATTATTATTCGACAATAGTATGACCTAATTCGATTATCAATCCAAAAAAAAAAATGATTATGCCCGGTTTAGATGGAGAAAATTATTTTTTGTTTGTTACGATAATAGATTGTCTAATATTGTAAATGAATGGCAATAAATGGATTAACAGAACATTTTAGATTTCTAGTAAATTTTTCTATGTATGTCTCTATATATTATGTACATTACTGTAATGTTGTTTTTCCTTTTATCTATCTATCTATCTATATTTAATTGGCATATGTATTGAATGGAACCGATTGATTGATTGATTCATTCATTCATAAAACAGTAATAATGATAATGATGGCAATTATAATTATGATGACAATAAATATATATCCAATCATTTTATTACCCCTCATTCATTCATCATGTAATGTATAGAATGTTGATCTCAAATTCCAACAAAAAAAAGTCATGCCAAATTCTATTCCAAATATTTTTTCATTTTAAAATTTTCGAAACAATTTTTCAATTTTTTAAAAAAAAACATCCGGTTATAATCACATTTCACTTTTTTCATGTTTTCATGTCATATATCACAGTCACTTATGAATGGAATTAATGTCACATAAATGAATTTGTACAATTTTTTTTCCTTGTTGTTGTTATTATATGAAAAAAAATGTTAATTCATTCAATTGTTCCGTAACAGATGATGATGAATTCTTTATTTTTGTTGTTGTTGTTGATATAATATTGCTGTCCATAAATGAAAATGAAACAAAAAAAAAATCAAATCAAATCAGTAGTAAAAAAATGAATGAATTAAACAGAAATCCGTGACTGACTTGAATTTTTTTTTTTTTTTTTTTGGTCGAATTATGAATGAAAATTTCTATTTGTCACATGTGTTTGTGTCCTGTATGTGAAGCCATGTGTAGAATATGTCGGTCCATAATAATATAAATATGTTTGTTATCTTTATACACACTATTGCCTACACATTTATCTATGATGTGTCACTCACAAATATATAACGGTAGTCGTTATCCATGTTGGCATATATATATATTATATAATGATAACACTCGGTATTCAAACAAAATGAAACAAAAAAATCAATCAGTCACAATGTATGTATGTAATAGAAGGAAAAAAATGTGTGTGTGTTTGCTCATTCAGGCAATTTTCACAGGAATTTATCAAGATAAAAATGAATTTTTTTTTTTTGTTACAAGCAAAGTGTCTCTTTTAATTTTTTTTTCTTGTTTCTTTTGTTAATGTTTTTCTTGGACCATATGGTTGGATTGTTTGGTAGTTTAGAATATGCTGAATGTGTGTGTGTTCATACTCTGATTACATCCAATGTCATGCATATTTGCCTGTGAGTGTGTGTGTGTGTGTGTGTGACTCATCAGGATTCTCTCTCTCTCTCTCTCTCTCTGGACTTGACTGACATTTTTTTTTCTGCAGTTCATTCCGTTCTCATTGTTGATTTTCTTTTCATACTTTTTTTTCTGGTTCAAATTTGTCATTGAAATACGCTGATTTTTCTTCTTTTCGCATTTTTTTTTATTTATGATGATAATCGTAATAATTGTTACAGTATAACATCATCATCATCATTATAATTAGGGTGAAAAAAAGCCATTGCTTTTTTTGTTTTGTTGTTTGACAGACAACAGCAATAGTCTTGAAACACACATTTGAATGATTGGCGATGATGATGATATATTATATATAATATCTAGTATGATGATGATTTTCAAGATCATATGTACAGTGTGTACTTGTATTTGACAGATTTACAATTTACATTTGCATCATAAATCACACACACACACACATAAGAAAGAATTATTTTTGTATGAAAAAATAATTAAAAACAAATTTGTCAAATGTAACAAATTTTTTTTTTTTTTCAAATCCTGATAGACATTTCAGATTGAGTGGTAAGATTTTCTTGATGTTTTATTTTCATTCATTCATGTTTTTTTTTTTTCATTATGTTCGGCTTCAATTCATTTGGTTGAAAATTAATGTTTTTGTCACGAAATATATAATAAAATTAATATTTAAAAAAATATCTACTACTTTTCTGGTGTTTTTTTTTTGTTGAATTTCATATTTATGTAAATCATGTTCCATATTTATAGGGAGCAATGAATTTGTCACAAATCTATTTTTGTGTGTGTATGTGTGTGTGCTTCATCACGATAATAATCATCATCATCATCATCATCATCATGATAATTCATAGGTTGATATGATTTTGGGTGAAATTTTGTTTAAACTCAAATTTTTTTGTTTTGTTTTGTTTTGTTCCAAACAAGAAAAACAAAAATGAAAATTTACAATCTAAAAAAATTGGGTAATTGTTTTGAACTCATTAAAAAGTAGTATATAGTATAGTCAAGTTAGTAGAAATATAATATACACCGATTTTCATTTTTCATTCATTTCTTTTCATGTGTGTGTGTGTGTGTCTCTGTGTATCAAGCTGGGAAAAAATTATAGATTATTCAATTTGTGATTTCCTGTCACCAGTATTTTTTTTTTCTTTTGGCAAAATCACACATGATATTTATAAACTTGTTGGGTGATAATAATAATTTCAAAGTTGTTAGGGCCCAAAAAGGATAGTCATTTTGGTTTTTAATGATCCGAAAACCAAAATAACCGGCTAAACACATAGTTGGGTGCACAACATTAACGTTTGAAAAAATCACAACTCAATATTCTAACCATGAGGTAGTAGTGTTAATTTTTCCTATACGAAATGTTACACGTGTCCGTCTGCTTTGCATCCCATTAAACACACAATGGGTACTCAAAACAAGACTGTCAAAACAAATTCCCATTTGATTTGATTCGATTCGATTTGCTCTGATTTCTGATTTTTTTCAATTAAATTCAATTTTCAATAACAACGATTCATTCTCTTATTTTCTCTTGCTTATAGTTGAGTCATCGCCCATGTTCCGAAAGGTTCCAAGTCCCGTCTATTATATGCTACAAGGTATGTGTAATTGTATGTCACCCATATATAGAAGCAGATTTTTGATCAAGTCTTGTCACATATGTCACAAAAACAAACACAGGATCAGACCTTGAATTAAATTGCGTTACAGAACGTATCGTTAATGTATCATGTTTTTGGACTCGAAATCACAAAATTATTCCTCCACTACCGGGAAAATATAATTATGCACAACGTTCATCATCGGGTGATTGTAGTATGACCATATCACGGCTTGAATATCCAGCTGATAATGCACAATGGATATGTCAAGTATATCCAGATGAATCTGAACAAGAACCCCCCAAAACACAAGTGATTGTAATGGTTCAGCCAAATCAACCAAATATTACATTCGATGTAAGTTTTTCAGATTTCATATAATAACAAAATTTATCATGTTTTTTTGACATCTATGTATTCTGTTTTTTCGAATAGAATTTTACCGAATCACCGATTGCTGATCAAGTGACAAGCATTTCATGTTTGTCTGCTAATGGAAATCCACTACCACGTATTGAATGGTATCTGGATGATATCAACATTACACAATATGTATGTATTACAATATATAAGTTTGCTTTCCATTTTTTTATTCAAATGTTTTTTCTCATTTTTTCCTCATATTAATGTGATCATATATTATCATTATCAAAAAAAATAGGCAAAAGAAATTGCAAAAGATCGTACAATCAAATCAACATTACGTTATGTATTCAAGAAAAAAGATAAAGGTAGCCGTCTACAATGTATATCATTCCATCAAACCGGTCAACAGGTTGTGCCGAAAATTTTAAATGTACAATGTATGTATCACCATGCATGGATCAATTTATCATCAATCATTCCTTTTTTTTGGTGATGATCGTTACTATTAATTTATTCATTGAATTATAATAATGATTTCTATTTCTGTAACAAATAGATAAACCATACGTAACGGTAAAGGAGAAAACATATACTGCATATGAAGGAAAAGATTTAGAAATCGAATGCCATGTTGAAGCGAATCCGGAAGCAAATATCTATTGGAAGCCAAGATGTAAGTATGTTGCGTATGCAACACACACATGCATATAAGAGAGTTGATTTTCATTGGTCGTTTTTGATGTTGGTCAATTTTGAATGAAAAAAAAAAATTCCCTTCTATTGTGACTCTTGGATCATTATGATTGTTGGCCATTTTATTTCCTTAATTTTCATTTCAACACTATTCACATTGATGAAGCTCATCATATTAATTCGTTTTTTTTTAATTTTTTACAGCGGAAAAAATCAACGAAACTAAATATAAAGTATTGGGCAATAAATTATTATTACGAAACATTGATTATACATTTGACGGTGAAGAATTTCAATGTTCAGCACAGAATACCATTGGACCTTCGAAAACGGAATCAGTTAAATTGAATGTTTTATGTATGTTATTTTCGTATTTTGATCGATTATACTGGCTATGATTAACATTTTTATATTTTCGTTTAATATATTAGATCCACCTCGATTAGTGAGTATCGATTTTCCTCGTAAAAACATAACCGTTGGCGATGATATGCAATTCGAATGTACATTTGTTGGCAATCCTGCACCGAAAATCCGTTGGTGTTTCACTGATGCAATTCATAATAATCTTTATTATCCAAAAGCATCGGATGATAATCCCGGTGTATTGATCATTAGGAATGCCAGTTATCTAAATGAAGGTACTGATTAATCGTTTTGTTTTTTTTCTGTTTTAAAAATATAAAATTTCCATTCATAGGATCCTATTATTGTCAAGGCATTAATTACAATTGGATTCTAAACAAGGAAAACATGGTTCCAAGTAGTCAGTTTGCTGTCAACATTGTTGGCCGTCCATTGTTCATCAATGTAAGTATCTCCACAGATGTATTTCATTTGAGCTTTAATTTAAATAAATATTATATGACACAATTAAACCATCAAAAGGACAAAAAAACTGTCACCGGTTATCGTGGTTTGGATACAAAAGTTGAACAAAGTTTCTGTAGTGATCCACCTCCGGATCAAGTTTATTGGATTTATGGTTCGAATCGTATCCCGGTCAAGTAAGTCATTGAGTTATAAAAATGACCATCAAATTTATGTCATCAATTTTTTTCATTCAAATCAACAACAATAGTCTTGAAATTGGTAAAGATGATTCACTTCGTCCACATCATAATCAAATCGATAATTTTCATATTAAAACGGGACGTTTAATCAAAATCGATTCATTATCACCGAATCCAACCTGTTTTCGTGTTGCCTTAATGGTCGCCTATACTGGCACAGATGACATTCGTGATTATATGCTCGTTGTGCATAACAAATATGGCAAAAGTGAAGGCATCGTTACGCTTCAGGTAGGCTTATCTTGTAACAGTGTTTTGTCGGTCCAATTAATTATTCATTTCAACCGAAACAAACAAAAAAAAGGTCAACTCTCCATTATCCATTGCAGCAGTGATTGCATTTTCATTAATAGTATTAGTCATTGTATTGGCCATTACTATTGGTATCATCTTATTACGACGCAAACCGTCAAAATCATCAGGATCATCCTCATTATCATCATCTACAACATCGTCTACGAATAAACAACGGATAGATGATCATCATCCTGTCGAAATTGTCGACAACAAATATGAAGTTCAAGGTAACAATTTATGGTAGTTATTAAAACATTTAGTCATTTATACTATATGTATGTATTTGAAACGCGTTAAATTAACCGTTATATATACCATGTTGGCTTATTTTTTTTCTTGTTCCATTTATCTAGTGCCAAACAATGATTCATATGATGGTGGCAATAAAGATAGCCTAAAAAAACATCATGGCAAAAAAACGAATGGCCATTAAATAAAAATTGCATAGATAACAATATCATCATCATTCGTCTGAGCTTCCTATTTTTTCTTCTTTTTTTTACTCATCACATCCATCGGCTGCTTCAATCAAAAAAAAAAAAAAAATAAAAAATAAAAATATTTTTTTATCATTGTGTCCATCCAAATGAAGACTTTTGAATGATGATGAAATCATCGTCCATCGTTGATTGCATATGTCCATTCATGGTTGTACATCATCATCATCTTCGGTGCCTTCATCTGATTGCCTCACATACATTATATTCGTGATTTACCATTTTTTTCATCATCATTTACGAACACAACAACAAATATAAGGATAACTTTCGTTTCATTTTTTCACATACACACATGCATAATAATGATTTTTCGGCCTTTCGATCAAAATTGTTCAACTTATATCATCATCATCATCGAATCACCACTTTGGATGTATAGTTTGTGTTGGTCAGATCGATCAGCAACAGCAGCAGCAGCAGCTTCATTTTTTTCGATTGTATCATAGCCACTTTTGTTTTTTGTTCTTTTTGCTTTATTCATTTTTTTTCTCTTTTTTTTATCCTTTAAGCTATTTATATGTCACTTTTTTACGATACGATACTTTAGTACTTTTTTTTACAACATTAATAACGAATAACTACACATTTTGTACAATTTGTAATTTATATTCTCATTCAACAGCTGAAAAAAAAACATAAAAATTTGAATCGATTTGAACACCTCAGCCCCTTTCTGTTAGGAATTTTGACATAAATATTTGGAAAAAAAACAGCAACAAACAATAACAAAATCTCACTATAAATTGTTCGTATTAATTAATATCACAAATTTTTTTCATCATCATTATTAAATAGTCAACATTAACAATATAATAATTGTATAATCAGATATGAACACAACATCATATAGTCAAAAGTCATGATGATAGTTAAAAATAATAATAAAAAAATATATATATCATTCTCAAACTAAACACAGGATTCATCATCATTCAATTAATTTACATTACATATTTATTAATCATGGAAAATGATGAGCATTAACAACAAAAAATTCATAAAGATCAGCATAAAGGCTATCCAATGGTTCATTGTTGTTATCATTAGAAATTTCTTCCGTATCCATATTATTATTATCATCATCATCATCATTATCATTATGATGAGATCGCCAGAATGATCCTGAAGTGTCATCAAATATATTACGTATAGACATTATATAGCTAATCTCTTCAACATCTTTCAATGTTTTATGGTATGTGTTCGATATGAAACGGGCACGAAAATTACCAATTATTTTTTCTCGTATCAATTCAATATCATAATCGATACTATCATCATCCAATGTTGGTGACCAAACTTTTACCGAACAATTTGAACCAGCTGTAGCCAATATCGGATCGATTGGATGTGCACTTAATGCATTAATCTATAAAATGATAATCAATAAATCAGGTCATCAATCATTTATCATATAGGATTTGATAATAAACTTACATTACCAACTTCATCACCAATTTTGAAGAAAATCATTGAACCATCATATATATCCCAAGCGTAAAGAAAACCATCATTCGATGTACTAAACGCAAGCCGATTACTAAACCAACAACATTTGAATGTTGGTTCGGAAAATAATTTCACACCTTGTCCAACCAATACGGATCGTCGTGAAAAATTCGATTCACGAGTTATATCGGCAATGACCACTTCACCGGTGCTTGCCGAACAAAGTAATCGATCACTGTTTGGGCTGAATCGAATACAAGGAACAGAAAAACGACTACGGTCCTCTTCATTTAATGCCAAAAATGAAAGATAATATGTACAATATGGAAGATGATTTCGATCAGAATTGCTCTAATTTTTTGATAAAATCAAGTTAATTAATAAATTCATGCGATTAATAGATTATAGTACTTACAATGAATCGACGATCATAAACGAGAACGGATGAACCATGACCAGCGACAGCAAATAAATGTGGTCGAATCTGACGATTACAATCGATTGTTCGTAAACGAAATATGCCGTCTTTCCTTCGACGTATCCTCAACAATTCAATCGATGATCGCTGCCGAAGATCCGATTGAAATATTCGACCATCTTGTCCAGCTGAAAGAATAACACAAGGATCACAATGGACAAATTCATTGACGATCGCATCATGATAACAAGTTACACGTGATTGAGTGGTCAATGATCGATCGATTATAGCACAACGTACGAATCCATCATCACCACATGTGGTGATATAATCACCGTCCGGCGACCATCGACAACAACGAACACTGCCAGTCAAATGTCCCGAATCATAGATGTAATCCAAGTTATTATCCGACCAATTCCAAATGGCCACCTTACAATCATTACCACTTGAACAAATGTATCGACCATTATGATTGAAATCCACAGAATAAATTGGTTCGATGTGTTCAAACATCTCGTATGTTTGCGACATACTTTTCATTAGATAAAGAGAATCACGGATCTGATGCTTGAATCGAATAGGATTGTAATCGGAAATTTTTCGCTTTTTCAATCCATGCTAATGAATAATTCATTTAGACAATAAGACATTATTTGAGATTCACAAAAAAAATATTTACCGATTCATTATGGAGGCCATATTCACGATTAACGATAGCACGCATTATGAAACCAATTTGGTCATCTGGATGATGAATATGAACACTATGTTGTTGTTGAAGTTCATCGGTGGAGGATTGATCAAAATCAATTTCGACATCACCATCATCAAAATCTTCGTTAAACATCTTTTGTTTTGAACCAAAAATTAATATGATACCAAATAATTACCATCACCGCTATTTTTATGAAAAGGAAAAGCTATTAAACCGATTAAAGCTTTTTATACATTTGTCACAGCAGAACAAGAACAACAAAATCGTTGAATTTATGCCAAAGTCATCATTTGACTTGTTTATTTACGTCGAAGTTTTTGTTTTTGTTCACACAGCTGTGCTTTGTCAATGCAGTGATGGTCACCGATACTATCGATACTTGTGTAATTTTTTTGTGTTAATTTTAAAATTTATTTTATTTTATTATTATTATTTTATTGGTATCAATATTTTTTTGGTATGAATTTTCCTGATGATAATAAAGAGACTGGTCAAGGTTAAGGATTGGGTATTAATAGAGCAATGTAGGTGGCTCCAATGGTGGCAATTCTGGAAACGATGATATCGTCGATGTTCGGTTATTACTGACATTTTTCGATTTATTCGGATCATTTTTAATGCTATTCAATTCTTTTCTCAAGGATTGATTTTCTTTTTGCAATGTTTTTGTTTCCTGTTTTGATTTTTCGATTGTTTCAACCATGTTTAGATAGATGGATTTCATTTTTTCATTCATCGTTTGTAATTCATTCACAATCGAAATGGGTGGTGTTTGACCATCGATTTTTACTGAATTGAAACTACAACCAGAACCAGGTGATGATGATGGAGTTGATTTTTGGCTCGATTGATTATGATTTTTGAGTGTAAACGACAATTGTTCCAATAAAGATTCTTGTCGTTTAAGCATATTGCATAGATCCATATCATCCGATTCGGATGTAATTCGATTGGCCATTGTTGCTGTTTCGTCGCCCCTATTTTTTGAGCGATGTCGATTTGAATATTGATCCAATGATGATGATGAACTGGATGAATTCGGATTCGAAAGAACTGTTTGTAGATTTTCTTTTCGATTTGTTAATTTATTTGTCAAACGAGATTGTAGACGTCGTTCAAGATGATCAATTTGATTGAAACAATATGACCGTTGTACGGTTAATGATGAACGGATATTATCACAGCGAGTAGTTTGAATCGAATATTCTAAATATTCTATAGTTTTATATTCACATACATTATGATCATATATGAGAAATTTAAATTAGAAAATTTCGTAAACAAATGGAACAAAAAATTTGACTCACGAATTGCTTTGGTGTAATGAAATATTGCTTTACTAAATTGATGACAACGGCTATAATATTCAGCTTTACGATGAGATCGATGGGCCTTTTTTGGCGTTATTGGATGATTATAATTAAAAAATTTATGAAAATTTTCACAATTTAGCTTACCAGATTTAAATGACTTTCCATTCATAAATTATAATATAATATATATTGGTCTACAACTAACGATATTAGTTTCACTTTCTTTGTGTGTTTGTGGTTCTTTTTATTAGCGTTGATTCAAACACAACAAGAATATTCTCAGATAACCGAACCAAATTATACAACAATACAAACTGATTTTATTTACAATAAAAAAAAATCTGAAATAAAAATTTGCAAGATTGTGGCTCAATATTTTCTCTACAATTTTTTTGCTTCTCATTTACGACGCCACACTAGATGGCAGAAATGTCGGCAATTTTTTTTTCATTATCAAAATGACATCATAATTCGATTCTTTGTTCATCAGCGATCATTAACGCAGTTATAAAATATGAGAAAAAACATTTTTTTGCGGTTGAAAACATTTTAAGAATTTTATTTTTTATTTTTTATCAACATTAACATTTAATTTTTGTTCATGCAAACAAAGTGAATTAGGAAATGGACATTTTTTTTGATGTGTTATGGATAAATGGATGAATTCCGAATACGTTGCAACGCCATTATCCTGTTGTCCACTAGATTTTGTGATTTTATTTTATTTAATTTTTTTCATTTGTTTGTTTTTTGATCAATTTTTTTTCAATCAATGATCAAAATAAAATATTGGAAAAAAACAGTGGACAACAAGAGAAAGGTATTGAACGTATCTATTTTTTATTTTTTTTGGTGATGTGCCAAATCAGCTGAATACGACCTAATCCAGATGTGGCAACTATGAAAAAAAAACCGACGAAACAAAACGAACGAGAGAAAATATTTTAAATCATAAAATATAGTTTCAAACCTTTGATTTATTGTATCATCATTTTCGATAGTTCATCGATGTTTTTGTATTATTATTGTTGTTATTGGTCAATCATCATCATGGTTATACATCGGGATTATATATGACGCCAACATATGACCATAACGATCGATAGCTAGATTCGTACTGAAAGAATTTTCATTTTCAAATTCATATTCACAATTATCACAATTAATTCATTCGAAGGATTATGTTTAGATTTTGCTATGGATCGTTTAGGTTGCCATTGGTTTTATTTTATTTCTCTATTTTACAGCTATTTGACCGAAAACATATTTGGCCAGATTATTATCATCATTCATTCATTCATCGCCTAGGTCACCCAAACATACATAGAATATAGAAGATATGAACCAATTCAAAATTCACTAAAGTTACTGGTTATTTTGGTTTTTTGTTGTTAATGTTGTTGGTGGTAGTTATGATTATGTGGTCATCATCATCATCATGATGATCGGTGAGATATTATACGTGATATTGCCATGGAACAGAATATAAAAGTATTCGGGAATTCTTGCTTTTTTTTTGTCAACCTGAACCAAACCAAACCTAGCTAAAAAATGAAATATGAAATGAAAAAGTGGCGTGTGTGTGTGTGTGTGTGTGTGTTTTTTGAATATTCAATTGGAATTTCAGTAGAAAATAATTTCATTCCACTTTTCCTTACCCATAAACATATTTCTAACTCATATTCCTTCAATATTCTCATTGGGGACCATTGGTATTCTAACAACAATAACAACGCAAAGGATTTTTGAGATTATACAATATGCCACGATTGTTACCGAACCAAATATGAATGAATGTTCATTTTGTTACAACAATAACAACAACAACAACAGGACAAATGAACAAGAAAAATATTAGCCTAGGTATATTTTGGTAAATTATTAATACAATTTTCATATTATATTATAATCAAAAAAAAAACAACTAAAAGAAATATGAACTGAATTTCAAAAAAAAAAAAAAAAAACAACCAAAGGGTACCACCATAAAGTACAATATCAACATACCTGGTCATCAACCATTTATTTTCGTACTGAATATATTACAACGGATAAAGGTAGCCATGGAAACAGACATGTATTACTATTCCATTATTTTATTAATTTTTTTTTTCTTCATTTGGATGGTGTATAAATGCCGATTAGTTAGAGTTAGGTTAATCGTTTTCAATTTTTTGTTTTGTTTCATACTGATTGAATACAAGGAAGCGGATAAAAAACTGGCAAAATTCCGCTAGAAATTAATCGAATAATGAATGAATGAATTAACTTGATCAGGATGGTCCAATTTTCAGCATTTGACCTCACTCTCTCTCCCTCTCTCTCTCATACACACACATTAGAATAATTGAATTTAATACCAATTATCGATGATGGTTGTATTGGAAGGATTTATTTTTTTCTATTCAATTTTGGATAAAAATTGTCATTCAATGATTGTCACTGTAGTTGGTAATCGATGATTCAAGCTATTGGTATGATGACCGATTTGTCAATGTTTGTCGGATTGTATGTTCGGAATATCCTGGTTAAATTATGAAAACCATCAACATCATAATCAGACAAATTGTGGGCCATAGTGACGAAGAATTATCGCTATATCACAATGAAACAATGAACAGCAAGTCATAAAATAAAGTTTAATACCTGGACACACCTCGTCGACGTAACATACATATCATTATTATCAGTGATACGAATTTTTTTTTATTGAATTCATTCAGATTCTACATGTACTGCATATGTTCCATAAGAGAAAGAGTGATAGGGAGTGAGAGGGTGAAGGGCTAATCATTTTCATAAATACCTGATCTCTAATGATGATCCTAGTGTATATCTGTGTGCATGTGTGTGTATCAACAACATGAAATGACATGAATGTAAATGGATTGAATTTTTTTTTATATTTTTTTCTTTCAATGAATTTCCCGGAATATTCCGAGGGGACATAAAAAATTTGTGATTGTATAACAATAACAGTAATAATAATAATTATTATTATTATACACCTGGAATCGGTGTAACCACCAAACAAAAAAAAAATTTTTTTTTCATTCATTTTTCATTTATTTTGAACCTCTCCCAAAAAAACACACAAACCAAAGTGAATGAAAATACACCCTCGATGAGAATGAATTTATATATTCAATGTATATTATGTTAGAACCAAAAAAAAAAAAAAAAATTGAGCTTTTTGGCTTCGATAATAACTATTGTGTATGTGTGTGCGTGTTTCAAATGGCCAACGCCAAAATCAAATTATTGATTGATATTCGATTGATGTTGATGATCGGGGGCCATGTTTAACGATTAAAAGATTTTTTTTTTTTTTTTTTTCTCCCTTTTTCTAGCTCAAGTACAAAACCAATTAGTTAGTTGAGAATTTCGTTGCAGTGAACTATTCAAGATTGTTCTATTTTTTTTTTTTGATTGTTTGTAGATAGTGTGTGTGGTGTAATATTTTTGGATCGAAAAAAATCCTGGAAACATGTTGAAATTCATTAGATCCAAAATTATGATCTTCATTCGATTATTATTAATAATATACTTTTACTTAAAAATTCATCACCAGAAGAAAGTTTAAGGCAAAAAAAATAGACAATATCATTATTGATCGAGGTTTAAAAGCCAGAAAACAAGAAATGTTGTTAGGGAAAAAATAAAAGTTTAATTTAAAAATAATATATTTTTTTCGAAAATATCATCCGGAAATATTTATCTTGATGAAAAAAATGTCGTTTATTTGTAGAAGAATAAAATTCTGTGGGCATATAAAAGTTTAGTCTGTTTGTTTAACATTAATATAATATATAATAGACAACCATTATACAATAATTGAATAATAAATTTGCTAAAAATAGATTAGAAATTTGCAATTTCTTATGAATGGTAAAACTTTACAAATAACATCAAACAAATATAAACGTTCAAAAAAAATAGTGGTTTTTTCAGAATTTTATCCAAAATAGTTCAAATAGAATGTTTTTATTTTTTTTTTTTTTTTTATAAATTTGTAAAGTTTGTACATAAATAATAATGGTGCTATTCTGGTAACAAATGAATTTGATAATCGAGCCATGAATGTGCAAGCACACAAAAATACCGAGAGAAAAGTTATGATTTTTTGCCTATATCAATAATTTTCACTAATACAATGATGGATATTACGAAATCTAAATGGATAAATTAATCAAATATAAAAATCCGGTATACAAAAAAGATTTTATATATAATCTTCATACGAATCTGCCATCTAGTGTTACTGAATTCTATTCGAGAAAATATGAAAGAAAAAACGTCAACATTTGCCCTTATTTTTTTCATTTTCATTTGCTAGTTTTTTTTTCTAGCCAACGTATTTTGGTACAAAATCTTTCCAACAGAAATGAATATCCATGGTAGCCGAAATTAAAAAAAAAACAACGAAAAAAAGTTATCTTGGTCAGTGAATCTTCGTGTTGAATTAAATTAAGAATAACCGAGACATAGATACAGAGAAAAAGAGAAAGAGGATGTGGAAGGAGAAAAGAGTGAACAACAAAAAAAAACAAAAATTTAGAACTACCTACATCCTACACACACATTGAATTTCTTCGTTACTGTAAACAAATATCGCTTTTTTTAGCCTTAAAATAGTCGAACAAAGAGAAAGATTGAGGGGTAAGAAATGAGAAATGTGATAAGAAAAGGAAAGAGAATTCATTGTGAAAAAACAAAACAAAAATTAAATTAGTTTTATCCGGCAAGGCAAGAGCAATGAACAAAAAATGAAACATGACAATGACAATGGTAATCAATGATGAATTTGTCAACATTTTTTGAGTTGATTTAAATCTGAAAATCGATTTAGATTATAACCACCACCTTTTTCTTATGATTTTTGAATTTTTTTTTTTCATCTTCGACAACCGATGTCAATGGTAGTTGATGATGATGATGATGATCATAATCATCAATATGATGATGTGTGTACATTGGAAACATTCGGCTCCTACGCAACTTTGTATCGAAGATTTTTTTTTCTTTTCGCTTTTTCATCATCAATATAACCATTCTATAAGATGGCTGATGGCTGATGTATAACCCGACATAAGGAATGACGGCAACAATTTCGAAGACGAAACAAAATCCATTTCGACATCATCGTCAATTGACGTTGAATATTTTTTTTTTTTTTTCTCAAAAACTTTAAGCTATACACAAAACAACATTCGCAACATTGGCAAAAAAAAAAAAAAAATACAATTTCTACTTCCAAATGGCGCTAGAAACGAACAAATACAGCGACCACCACCTGTTTATGACCAATAATGGTCATCATCATCATCAAATCCATGGCATGGCTCTCAATGTTTGAATTTCTTTTTCAAAAACAG